ATGTATGTGGTATACGTGTACGTTTTAGTTCAAAGAGTTACTATTTCTTTTCAAGTACAGACAGAAATAAGTCAGCTGAAAATACATAAGCAATTAGTTGTTGGAAGTTGACACATATGGCAGTGGAAGGAAGGTGAAGTAGGTGAAGTAGGCAAAGCAGGCGTGTTCTCCATCAATTAATGGAAACAAAATTATAAAACAGACATTAGCATACAAGTTTTTTTTTTACACTACTCTTATTTCAAGTAGCCCAAAGCTCAGAGAGAAAAAAATCTGTTTATATGAGACACAAGAGACGGAGAGATGATAAGACCAGATGTATCAAAGACCTCTAGCACATCCTTACGTAGACGGTGTCTGTGCAGCATCTGTGTGTCTGTTCCTCTTGGGAAATTTTAGCTTGATTTATTAAACCATTCATCAAAACACATACGTACATAGATACATATGCACATACACACATACATGTGCACAAAGGCACGAGAGAGAGAGAGATGTGTGCACTTAAATTTCAGATAGATTAGGGATTAACTCAAAAGATATTCAGTTTACACTAGTAGAAAACAATAAAGTCTAAACTCTGCAGGTCTCCAATACATCAAATGTGTGGTATTTTTGCCTCGGGCGTTTTCATTAGATTTTTGTTCTTATAGCATGCTTTGAAGAGTTACTATCTCACTGCAGATTAGAATAGTATAATTAGAATAGAATCATTATTTTAGTACGCTTTGTACACATGTTTTTGTTTACCTACATTTTGTTTTTGTTTTTTTAACTTTTTCTTTTTTTTTCAGAACTAAATGCCTGTCTATATTCCCACATCATTAAGGGATATAGAGCTGCAGCATCAAACTTCACCACTAGATGTTGCAAAATTCCACACATTTTCTAAACTGCAGGTTATTAGTATGAAAACAGTAGTGGAGCAAAGATGGAGCCAAAACTGGGACAAGGGACAAGGGAGACTTTGATAAAAGTGCTCCTTGTTTCATAAATCTCACAGCAGCATTAATGACTTCACCTCATCTACCGTACTGTATGCGTGTTGGCTTGTCTACCGCTATGCATTGGAATGCCTCAACGTATGTTTGACTCCATTTCCTGCTTCTTTGCTTCCTCTGCGACTCCTTTTCTTTGCCTTTTATACGCTGCTCTGCCTGCAGCTAAATGGCAGGCTTACTCTGGATTAAATGCTTCTCGCATTATGTATTCCAGATATTCCAGGTTACAGTAGGTTCAAAACAGGTGAGAAATCCAACAACTGCAAACAAAACTATTTGTAGACTAATTTGAAGAAAGAGTCGATTTTGTCCATCGAGAGTGAGAATGTATTTTACAGGACAAACGATCACAAAAGTGGCCCCCAGCTCATTTGAGTTTGAGACTCAAGAAGGAGTGTTGAATCATCAAAAGATCTCTGAATATCTAAATAAATACCACTTTAATTGAACAGCTGGCAGATTAATGAATGTTAGTTCAAATTAAAACACTGTGTTGAATTTTAAATAGTGTGTATCAAGGCTTTTTTTGTGTGTGAGAGAAAGAAAGAAGCTGAAAAAGAGAGCTCCGACCTTAACTGGCTTGTTTTGGCCCCAGGGTCCAAATATGTTCTGTCAAGCATCTGCCTCTGCCTGTTGGCACACACACACACACACACACACACACACACACACACACACTAACAAAAGACAATGTGAGTCCAAATTTATAGATGTATTTTTTTATATTTTGACTGCAAATAGTGACAAAGAAATTACGTGGGTGTAATAAATTAATATAAAGCCAGACAATAGTTCAACTATGTGACCTTTGATGGTTCAGTCAAAGTTGATTTACACCGTTATTTGTTCAGACATTGCATATGTTAACAATATAGGAGCATAGCCAGAAGTCAGCACAGCTAACATTCATGTGAACAGTAGGATTCTGTAGATACTTTAAATTCAGAAAGGCTGTTGGAGTGGAGCTACGAACCACTGCGTTTTGCATCTCTCAGCAGTCTAGGATACAATACGATAAGATACGATAAATACAAGACAAAACGATAGATACGATACGATAAATACAAGACAAAACGATACAATACAATATGATGTAGTACGGTGCGGTATGATATATTTTTGTTGTAGACTAAAATTGGTCTCGGTCTCAGATCACTTCACCTGATAGTGCATCCACAAAAACAGTACTGAAACCCTTCACACTAGGCCGTCCACATTGTTTCACTGACTTCACTTGGCTGCAGCTCAAAAGGCTTTGATTCCTTTATAAGGTTCTCATCGTCTAACCAACCTGCTGGACAGCAGACCGCCAGAAAGTAAAAGAGAACATATGATCACAGAAAACATTTAGCAAAGACGGATTTAATTTTTATTTATCGATCTGGCAAGGAGTTTGACCAGTGTCTCAGAAAAGTCTTCCAACGGAGCAATGCCAAACCTTTAGGAAACAATATGACAGAAGTTTGGAGGGAGTAGGACGATAGTTTGGTCTATTTATGTGAAGCAACATCCACAGTCAAACAGAAGTGAAAAACTGGCATCGCTGTTATTCTTAAGCAGTACTTAAAAACGTTGACGGTAAAAAGATTTTTTCCCCGTGGGATTTATAGAGATACTGTAATGTTTGATGACTATCATATGAGCCGTAGATCATGTCAATCCAGCAGCGCACGCCAAACACTAACCACTTCCACAAAAGTTGAAAGGCCAAGCTCCTCTTGGAGTATTTTGTTATTCTGTCACTATGCACCTTTGATCATTCCACATTGAATCATTCTACTCTACTTTACCTAATGTATTAACCAACATATTTATCAGTTTCATATAATTGTGTATAAGTATGTTTGTGCAGCTGCCATGCAGACAGTTCTGGGCTTGGTACCACCTACAGTACTGCCCAAATCACAGGGTGGGTCACATCAAGACGGGGTGAAAACATGGAAAAGGTTGAAAAAAAAAATCAGAGGCCACTAGATCAAAGCCTGTTAGAAAGTTTCAGTCATTTTCTACAGTAAAGTTCGGCTAAAATAAGATATTTACTCTGATTTTAAAAAATTTAAATTGTTGGGGGTTGGAAAAAATAAATTCTACACTCAACAAAGCTATAATGATGAAACCTGTCAAACGTCAACGTCAAAGCTGTTGGAGACGCCTGAGAGACCTGTTTGAACATGTTTTAGTTTTTCAAAATGACATAAAATTATAGACTAGAATAGAATGGGAACAGATGCCCAAAAGTAATACAAATATCATAATAGAAAATATAAGATTAGAAAATATGATATATTTGTATCATTTAACAAGAGCTGGTCCGCAGTGAACTGTCGACTGTTGTTAAGTTTCAGTGCATTTTTGACTCACCCTCTCATAATTACAAATGTCAAATCTGTACCATGAAGATTTTAAAGAGTATCAATGAGCACAAGTGCGTTCATTTTGAGAGTCTTTCTTTTTAAATTTACGCAGATTGCTGACAGGAGCTGGAATAATCCATGGCATATCCTGAAGACCCAGATTTAAGAACCCTTCTAGTCACTTCAGCAAACCATTGGGAGAACATTATTTAGTGATGGATAAATGAGCTGTAAAATTATGACAGTTTCTATGCAGTAAATATTTTATTTCTTATGCACGCTGGCACCGGTGCTGTGTTTTCCCAGCTGCGTGGCTCTGCCTGACGTATCGATGCAGAGTCAGGCAGGCGTGTTTTTCTTGCCGTTTATAAAGAGAATTGTATGGGTTCGTTGAATAGAGGCTCTGACAAACTGACAGCACAGGCAGTTTGTCTTTGTGGTGACTGGTGTTTCCGAATGATATCATACCAAAAAAAAAAAAAACATTCTTTAACTTGAAAACTAAAACTCAGTGATATATAGTTTTAATTAGCAGCAGTGAAGACGAGATCAATGTGAGCGCTGGAATCAATAAACACATTGTTAGTAGCTTTCTCACCATTGTTAACGTCTGCTTTAGGTCAGGAATCTCCATGTGTCTTTTGCGATCTCGACATATTCATTAATTATCGTGTTTTAATATTTGAACCATTGAACTCGGAGCTTTTCCTGTTGCTTTGCCTCAGGCCCAGTAAAATCAAAGAATGATAAAAAACAGGCAGTTTTCCTTAATGTAAAAAGCTTGTTGAGAGCTACACCTGAATGAGGGTGGTCGTCATGCTTTAAAGGACAAATCTTTTTTCTTAAATGTGCAGACTACAGTCTTTGAGTGGGAGGTTTTGGCTCCCACTGCTGGACTTTCTATATTGCACTGCGTTCTGCAGATTTCTGCCATCTGGTCCTTTGAACATTCCCCTGTTTTGAGACTGATCAGGCTCTAAAGGTAAAGACCTGGTGACAAGCTCATAAGTAGAGCGCCCCCAGGCCTGGCTCCAAGGTATGGCGCTTGTATCTCTCCATGAAGGGAACTCTATTCCTTGATCTTTTTTTTCCACCTTCGATGGCCCCACATGGCCTGGTCCTTCATTTAGGACTGTTCTTCCTCAAACCACATGTATTGATAAAGTAATGAAGTCCCTCCCCCACAGAGGGTGATTATTTAAAGAGGGTGATTTGCTGCCTGACAGTACGAGAGCCCTGTGTAGTGCGGCAGAATTTATTCCACATAGAAACACAACCATTTGTTCCAAAAACCAATTTAGATCAACTCTACAACCTAAAGCGTAATATTTGTTTTTGTGAGTAGGAAAAAAGCAGCTAGAATTTGAAAGGGCCTTAATTTAATATCCATCTTAAATTAAGGGCTTAATTGCTAGGAGGCCCACCAGAG